GAGGGCGGCGCGCGCCGTGTGGCAGGTGGCGCACTGCGGAGCGGGCATCGCGGGGTCCGGGCTGCGCGGGAGGGGCCGGCTTCTCCTGGACGGGGAGAGAGAGGAGGTGGGTTACATGTGGATTCCAGATTTCGGGGTCGTTGCCTCCAGTGAGGCTGCCTGGATAGCACCCAGAGTAAACCCATTGTCTGGAACACTCTTCGCCCAGCACTGTGCAGGTCTGGCACCTTCAAGTGCCAGCTTAAGCTTTCATTCATTCATTCAACAAATATCCATTCAGTGCCTCCTGTGTACACAACATGAGCCAGGCACTGGAACAAAGCTGGAAAGGTTGCCGACACTGAGTTCTAGTGCAGGAGCCAACCCATGGATAAGTAAGTAAATAACCAAGATACCTTCCAAATATGAGGAGTAATATGAGAGAATTATCCTCTGAGCTGAGGCCAGAAAGACGAGTAGGAGACAGACATTAGATCAGAGTGGGAAGAATGTTCCAGACAGAGTTAATAGCAAATGCAAAGGACGTGAAGGGCAAGGCCTGGCTGTGTACAGTTGGTTGGAAAGTGCGTTGGGGCTGAAGACCGGAGAGGGTCGGGGGTTTAGAGGTTGGCAGAGTGAGGAGCTGGACTTTATTCTGCATGAGATGGGAACCACTGGACGGCTTTCAGCTGTGGAGTGACAGGGTCTGATTTGCATTTTAACAGGATCCCTCGAGTTGCTGGGTGTGAATAGAGGGTGGAGAGTGGCAAGGGCAGACCGGTGAGAAGGCTCCTGCAGTGATCCAGGTGGGCAACAATGGTGGCTTAGAGCAGAGTGGAGGCAGTGGAAGTGGAGACAAGTGGTCAGATTCTGGATCTCTTCTGGAGGTAGAGCAGATGGGACTCACACAAGACTTGGTTGGGGGAGGGCAGTGGATGAGAGCAATAGAGGACTCGGGACAACTCCGAGGTTTTGGCTTGAGCACTTGCAAGGATAGTGGGACCATTTAGTGGGGAGGAGGTGGGGATGGGGAGGAATGGGAGAATATTGTGAGAGGGGTAGGTTTAGGGCAAAGAATCTGGAATTTCGTTTGGGCACGGTAGATTGAGGTCCTTTGCTCTGGAAGTCTTTTCTGAACCCTGGGCTGGGTCTGGCGCCACCTCTGGGCACCCACGGCCGCCTGATCACCCCCCACGCCAGCCCTGACCTCTCTAGGTTGTAACCAGGACAGAGGAGGGTGCGCTCGCACCGCACCCAGGTTTGGGGGTGGGAACGAGGAGTCAGACCCGGCCGCAGAGTCCAAAGCGGGTCAGCAGGGACACGAGCTGCTTAGGGCACTCGCGCCTGGAGGGCCGCAGGGACACAGGCGTTGAGGGATCACGGAGAGAAGTGCCATCTCTCCAGGGATGCCCACCGGAACGCGTGGGAGAGAAATATGGAGACCATCAGCTCCTACTCGGCAGCGCGACAAAGGGCCGGAATTGGCCGGCCGCGGGAGGGGCCACTCACCTAATTAGAACCCACGCTGGAAGGTCCAGGCTCCAGAAAACGCGGAAGCGGGTAAAAAAAGACTACGACTCCCAGAAGGCTTTGGGTCGGCCCGCCTACGACTCCCAGGTGTCCATGCGGCGGCTCAGCCTGTAGCGCTTACTGTTCTGGGACAAGCTGGGCCTACAACTCCCTGCGAGCCTCGCGGTGACGTCACGCTCTCTGCCTACGGCTCCCAGAGTACTGCGGGCCAGTCTAGCTCGCTTCCCCTCTGCGCCTGCGTAGAAATAGGGGCGGTGTCCCGTTTTCTGTGCGCTGCTGCGCGCTGTGTGGTTTGTTCTAAAGATGCGATGGATGTTTTTCAGATTTTCTGCTCTTGTGGGAGTATGATAGAGTTTATGGTGCGGATGGAGAGGCGTCGGGGTGGGGAGAGAAAGGATTGGAGTTGCGAAAGGGATAGCTAATGCGCTCTCTGGACAGGCTCCAAGGATTGGGCCGCGTGGCCAGGGGACACAGCGCGGGCTTCTGCGCGCCCCCAGAGGCGTGGGAGCGGGGGCGCGCCCAGGCCCAGGCCCGCGGCTGTCGGCCTGGGGGCGCTGTGCGTGGGCGGAGCAGATCGGTAGCGGTTTGCCGTTCTCTACGCGTGCCTCGGGGCGTGAACCCGGTGAGCAGTTATGCGCTGGTTGGGGTCAGTGACGAATGCGCACGCGTCCTGCCTGGTGAAGCTGAAGGCAGAGCTCGGGATGGAGGGCAGGTGAGACCCGTGAGACAGATAGTTCCCCGGGGCACAAGCCCCCAAGACCAAAAACCGGAGCATCTTCCCAAGAGTCAGCCGGAGCTCTGCTCTCCAGGCCCAATCCCTCAGCCTCCTTCCAGCCCCCAGACTGCCCCGTCTCCTTCATGTTATATTCTGAGATCCTTTTGTCCCGACCCCTATGAGGCCCTTGATAGCGAGGATGGAGAGTGAAGGATGATGGGGGGCATTTGGGTGTCTGAATCTGTCGCAAGGTTGAACCCTGGTCATTGGGCTCATTCATTTAACAGTCATTTCCTGAGCTTCCTGTGCGCCAGGCCCTGTCCTCTGGGACACAGGTATGTCAGGCCCTGGGAAGATAGGGATGATAAAGCTTGCTGTGGAGGTATCAGACGTCAGGGGCTGCAGGAACCCAGATGTTACAAGTGCTGCTAACCAGGACACTGTTAACGGCACCTAAAGAGCAGTTAGCTTGTGCCGGACCGCACCATCTGACGTTCCTCATCTGTAAAATGGGGATGATAATAATAGGACCTGTCTCACAGAGTGTTTGTGAGGATAAATGAGTTATCATGGAAAGTGTTTATTGACCAAACAGTAAACTTCCGTGATTTTCATCTTGTTTAATGCTCATCATCAAGGATGGCTTCCTGGGGCAGGGCCGTGGCTTAGCGGTTAAGTGCGTGTGCTCCGCTACTGGCAGCCCGGTTGGGACCCCTGGCGCCCACTGACACACTGCTTGTCCGGCCATGCCAAGGGGGTGTCCCACATACAGCAACTAGAAGGATGCGCAACTATGACATACAACTATCTACTGGGGCTTTGGGGAGAAAAAGGGAAAAAAAGGAGGAGGAGGATTGGCAATAGATGTTAGCTCAGGGCCGGTCTTCCTCAGCAAAAAGAGGAGGATTGGCATGGATGTTAGCTCAGGGCTGATCGTCCTCACAAAAAAACAAACAAAAAACAAAGATGGCTTTCTTTTCGAGCCAGGCTTAAGTTTTCTTTTAAAGCAAGCAGTGAGATGGGGATTTCAAAACCGCAGGCAACCTACAGATGGTCTAAGTCACTTCTCAGGTGGGGTGATTTTGTCCCCAGAAAACATTCGGCAATATCGAGTCACACCTGAGGTATGGGGGCAGGGGTGACTGGCATCTGGTCAGTAGAGGCCAGGGATGCTGCAAAACATGCTGTGCACAGGATGCCCTCCCACAACAGTATTATCCGGCCCCAAATGATAATAATAATGCCAAGGCTGATGAACCCTGGCCTAAGTGGTGTTCTGCTGTACCTTGATTTTCTACCCAAAAACTAGTATGCAAGTTCAGGTGTTTCTGTGTCAGTTTTAGTGTCCTGCTTTGAAAGTTTCTTTAATTAAATATTTAAGCAGATCTCAACACCACTCACAGACTTCTGAGTGAGAAGTTAGTAAAAAGAAGCTTTACCTCAAATTAGGTGTCAGTGAAGAAAAGAGGATGTGAAAGCCAGCTGGCCTGGGTGACACTCTGCACCACTTGCTTAGCTCTGTGACTTTGAGTAAGGGACTTAACCTTTCTGAGCTTCAGTGTCCTCATCTGTTCAGTGGGGATAATAATAGCAATTATTGGGAGAACTGAATGAGTTAATATAGGTAAAGCATTCAGACCAGTGCTGTAAAAATGGTGTGGGGGGCAGTGTTTAGGTTCCTTATGTCTCTTCCTTGGGGCAGCAATAATTGGCAGTGTTGAGAACTGGGCCAGTTCCTCTAGTCCTTAGTGGCCACGTTCATCAACAAGCTGGCACAGTTTGGGGAGAGGTTTCTCATGGATGCTTTGCAAACATTTTACATTTCATTTGTTGCAACACATTCACTTAATATTCTAGGGGAAAGACTGAGTTGGTGTCAGGGGGCTTCTGGAGAGGGCAGATGACTGCCTGTAGCTTTTTATTGGTTACAGGGTAAAAGTCGAGTCCCTCGGCCTGGTGTTTGCGACCTGGCCCCTCATGACTTTTCAGCCTCATCTCTCACCACTGAACCTCTGGCAGGTCCCCACATTTCCCAGCGAAATAACTTTTTCTTCCCGGTGTCTGCATGTGCTGTCTCCTCTTCCTGAAGATTCTCCCTCCCTCACCCGTCTTCTCCACCACACTGGTTCCTGTTTCTCATCCAGGTAGCTTCTTGGATGTACTTCCTCCAGGAAGTCTACAGGACCCCCGCTCCCCTGCACTGGATTAACACACAACCTGTGGGCTCCCATGCCCCTGGCCCCTCACTTTGTCAGAGGCCCTGTCACCTTGGGCTGTGGCTGTCTGACTGTTTCAGTGTCTCTGGGTGCTCCTTGAGGGAGGGTGTGGTTGGATTTGAATCTGGCTCCCTAGCATTGCTGGGCACAAGGCCTGGTACAGAGCAGGAGAGGTATTCCAGGCCCTTCCTGAGCTGCTCCCAGCTTACCTCTCCTTTCTTGTCTCCCACTGTTATTTACACCCCAGTGAACACAAAGCTCAGGCAGGAAACTATTGCCATGAGATATGGTGGTTAAGGACTGAGGTGGCCTGGTTCAGATCCTGGGACTACCATCCTAGTTGTGTAACTGTGCACAAGTTACATTTCCTCCCCTGTAAGATAGAGATAATTATAGTACAACCTTCAAAGGATTAGAGCAGTTGTTCTCAATCTGGGATGATTTCAACCCCCAGGGGACATTCAGCAGAGACATTTTTGGTTGTCACAACTGGAGTTGAGGAGTACTGGCATCCAGTAGGTAGAGGCTGGCAGTGTTACTCAATCTCTGACACACAGGACAGCTCCCACAACAAAGAACTAACTTGCCCAAAATGTCAGTAGTGCTGAGGGTGAGAAGAGATAATAGTTGTCAAGTGCTTAGAACAGCTCTTGGGCCATAGTAAACACTCCATAGATATTAGTTTCCATTACTGCCGCTACTTAAGCACACCAGGCTCTCTGGTGCCTTCACCTCTCTGCCCAGAATGCCCTTCCTCCACTTGGCATGGGATTGAATGCCTGCTTATCCTTCAGGACCTACCCAGAAGGCCACTCTTTTGGGGAAGCCTTCCCTGACCTCTACCACCCTTGTCCCCCAAGACACCCTCAACTAGGCAGTGGGAAGAACTTTTGAGTCACACACGCAGGCCTGGACTCAAATTCATGCTCTTTTCTTACACCTGAGTGACTTTGGGCTATAGTGTCCTTATCTATGAAATCAAAGGGTGGGTTTGAGGTTGAAATGGGCCAGCACCGGGGAAGTATTTGATTAATGTCAGGACTCCCTTTGTGGAATATATTCGTCAATAAAACCTAAAAGCTTAGTGTTGGTTTAGATTGGGTAAATTGTTAACAAATACGTTTTTAAATAAGATTTGTTGTGGAAAGAATAGGAACTAGCAAAACTGTCTCTATCACCAGGAGAGTTAAGAAGGAAAAAATGTTATGTGCTATGTACACGAGACCCACATTTAATGATTAAAGACTCAGAAAGTGTGAAAGTAAAAGGGTGGCAAAAGATATACCAGGAAAATAACTCAAAGAAATCTAAGTTTAGCTACATTAACCACAAAACAAAATAGATTTTGAGTCAACAAGCACTATCAGTCACAAAGTACCATCACAAATGAAAAGGAATAACCAGGATGACAAAGCACTTGTAAACTTGGATGCACCTAACAACATAGTCTCCAAAGAAATAAAGCTAAAGCTAAAGCGATGACAAGAAGAAATTGACACATTCCAGAAGCTCTGTAACATTTCAATACATTTCTTTCAGTAATTAATCAAGTAGGAAGAAAACTATAAAGCTATGGAAAATTTGAAAAAGACACTAACAAGCTTGAAGTAATGGACAGAAACAACCCTGTACCTAATGATTTGAGAAGACAGGTTTTTGCCAGGCACACAGGGACTATATACAGATGTCCTAGGTGTGGCTGTTCAATATGGCACCCCCTGGCCACATGTGGCTGGTGAGCATTTGAGCTGTGGCTGGTCTGAATTGAGCTGTGCTGTAAATGTAAAATACATACCAGATTAGAAGAGTTTATGTGGAAGAAGGATGCAGAATATTTCACTCATAATTTTTTATCTTGATTATGTATTTTTGACATATTGAGTTAAGTGTAATGTTAAAATTATTTGTACCTGTTTATTTTTACTTTATAGATGTGGCTAATAAAAATTTAAAATTACATCTATGATTTGCATTGTATTGGACAGCCCTGCTCTAGACCACAAGAAAGTCTCAGCAAATAGCAAAGTCACCATGTCCCACTCTCCAGGACAAGGGACCTTAATCAAGAAGCTTAATACATGTACTTCTGATCCAATAAATGAATTTCCCCATTAGCCTCTATGATTTAGGAAATTATTAAAACAATTTTTCATAAATCTTGAAACTAGCTGAGACATAAGGGGTCTGAGAGAGAGAGAATGTGTGTGTGTGTGTGTGTAATAGTCATCTTAAAACATTTGCTTGGGAGACCTCAAAACCATTCTGAAAAACTTTGTCCCACCACCTCACTCATTTTAAGTTGACACCTGAAATTTTCAACATTAAGTTAAAGTTTTTGTTGTTGTTACTTGGAGGCAGAAAACATTATACATTTTATAAGGTGACATGAGAAGAGGACTGGCTGTTAATGGAATAAATATTTCATGACCTGACTCAATTAAATAGGTTTTAATTACCTTAAAGAATAATGCACAGTAGTTCTAATGGAGATCATTAATTTTTACCTGGGTATTTTATCCAGCGTAACTTGAAAAATATATGACTGAAAACATTCCAGTTAAAAAAAAAATTAGCTTCACTAACTTATAATGTTTTGGATGTTCTGAATACAGAACATCCCAACATGAGCCAAGTTTCACCTTAACGGAAATGAGTAGAACAGAAATACATGACACCATGCAGGGAATCTTCAGACACTTGTGTGCATATCCCAGTAGGAAGACCCCGGCTTTGTTAGGTAAAACAGGTTCCACAACCCAGAAGACATTTCATACCTTCTCGGGGGTCAGGAAGTTCAGGGATTGTCTCAGAGCAAAAGCACAATCTGGTCTGGGGCATGTATTTCTGAGCCTGACAGATTCAGCTAGAGAGAGATTTTCCTGATGAAAAAAATAGGTTTCATTCTTAGAGAAGAAACTCATTTCTAACATTACATTTTCTTTGGAAAGAGGGGCTTCTGGATGGTTTGGTTTCCACCACTTCCTTCTTGTCTGCAATGTGTGTTCAGGATAGTGTGGGCCTTGGAGAGTCTATAGCAGGTGACTTAGGTCAGCCAAAGGCCCCCGCTGCCCCGACCTCTCCTTTTTCATTGAAAAGAGGGGCCTGCTAAACCCGGGTTGAGGCAGAGAGCACTAGGCTCTTCCCGTCTACCACGGCCTCCCTCAACCTGACTCAAAAAACAGAGCTGGGGTGGGGGGGCTTGTGTTGGGAACCTGCCAAGGATGAAGGGGCCACTTTCCGAGGGGAACCAGGGAGTCCAGACTCTTTGTGGGGAGACCCTCCTAGAGGCTCCTAAAGGGATGTACAAGCACATCATGGCAGCCAAAGAGCATGCTTTCTATAAATGAAAATATAACATTAAACAAAACAGTCCCACGTCACTTGGAAAATGTGGGTGTACGCTGTGATAATTTGAATCCTGTAACATGTATGAGAGTTGCTGCTAGCTTAAGACAGAATTTTTTTCTTGAAATCTTTTGGGAAACACAAAAATATATAATTGATTTTATCATACTGGGTGCACCTTTCAACAGTAGTACAATGAGTATTTTTTTGAGGAAGTAATGAGAACATACTCTTATGCTTCCACACCTATGGTCACCTGATTATACTGTCAAATTCTTTTCTTTTTAAACCATTGTTTATAATTAAATTTTCACCATCAAGAGCCCCAAATACAGTAGCACTGTGTCTTAAGTTATAATCCTATAGTTGCAATAGAGATTAATCATAAAATGAGGAATAAAGAAATAATCATTTGTTGAAATCTACAAAACTCTCAGGCCCTAAAATGCCTCTCTTGTTTCCTGTGGAGTCAGAGGGATCATTTTTCTGAGTTCTCCAGGAGACAAATCACACTTTCAATAGCAACAGCCTTTCCTGTCCCAGCGTGAGGAGAAGGAAGTCTGGAAATGTGAGTCTGGGTGGCCCCATGCTGGACAATGTGTAACCAACACACTCACTCTGTTGGTGGCTCCACAGAAACCACCAGATACATCCGACTCCTGCGTGAAGAATCAAGCTCCTGAGATCACATATACCATCTAAGACTCATCACTCCTCCAAGCTTACCGACCACCTGCCCAGGAAAGGGAAACAGAGTCACCATCGAGGTTTTGTTGGCATGTTCTGTTTACAGAGCAGCTGGACACTGGCCAGTGTGGCATAACTCAGGCGTGGCCCAAACCTGCAGCATTCACAACTGGGAAATAGGGATTATCATGAGCCCTGCTAGTTTCAGCCTGGAAAACACGTCCATAAATTGTCACTGGGCCAATTCTTCTGGGATATTTCAAAGACTGGTCTTGGTCTCCAAAAGGCAACACCAAATCCAGCTGAAGTTTCCGAGTTGTATTTGACGATTGTCTTCTATGAATGGAGTGCATGGCCACCATATCTGTTGGGGTCTAGTTTCATCTCATTTTGCTTAAAGGGGAGGTGTCTGATCTAGGAATGCCACTCAAAAGCCTGGATGGTATTCTATGAAATATTCTTCCTTCATAAGCTGCCTTTCCAGCTGAAGAGCTGGGAGAAATTCTACCAGCAGGTAGGTCTTCCTTCCTTAAGGAAAGTAGTTCTTTATTCAACAGAGAATTTGCTACTGAAATTGGATTCTTGTTTCCTCAATGCTCTACAATTTAAGGATTTTCTATCCCTGATCACGTTCTGTCTTGCCTCATGTTTGAGATTCGATGTTGAGCCTGCTTCTGTAATGAGATTTTTCTAGTTCATCTAAAAATGTACTTGCCGATTTAGTGACAAGGACACCAGCTGGTATGTAACTTTTCAGTGACTTTTGATAAGCCCATTTATGCATCTATTCATATTCTTCACCTTTGGCTTCAGAATGATCCTTGGGACCAGCATGACCAGCACAAGTCCTACTTATTTCTGTTCACGGGACCCATTTGCTTCCAGCTTAAAGGCATCCCCTCGGATGAAACTGGAGAACAGAGCTCCTGAACTCATCCCATTCTCTTCCATCTTTTCCCAAGATTGCCAGTTTTCCACTGTAAATATAGCACCCATCTCTCCAAGTGTAAATTCAAAATGACTCATCATGCATCCGCTAGGAGCCCTTGAAGCACAGAAAAAAATAATCCCAGGATTCCTTCTTCACACGACAGCCAGAGGCAAGCCTTCAGGGTCCATGTATCAGTCCTTGTCTTCACTTAGTCTTTGGAAGAGCAGGAATTCAGAACGCTAACGCTCCCTGGTCCTTCTTCGGGAGCAATGCTGACACCACCTGAGGCCTCAAGGCCAAGAAGTTTCTTGGGGGTAGGGGAGGAAGAAGAGGAGGAAGAGAGTGAGAGAGAGACAGAGACAGACAGAGAAAGAGAGAGACAGAGTCATTCTTCCCCTCCAGGTCACTTTCCTTCGGTGAACATTTCTCATTGCCTGTCAAGCAGTTTCTCAACCTCAGCACTATTGACATCTTTTGCTTTGGTGGGGTGTGGGTGGGGCTGTCTTGTATACTGTAGGATGTTCTGCAGCATCCCCGGCCTCTACCCACCAGATGCCAGCAACACCCACCCCCCACCAGTCATGACAATCAAAAATGTCTCTAGAGCCATCTTTTAAATATGTGAGTCAAATCATATCACTTCCCCACTCCCTCATCATGACCTGGAAGACCCTGATCTAGCCCTGGTCACCACTCTGACTTTCTTTCATACCATTCTTTCCAATGTTCTCCCCCTTCCTATCTCAGGGCCTTTACACTTGCTGTTCCCTCTGCCAGAAACACTTCCCATGGCTGCCTCCTCCACCACACTCGCAGAAAGAGCCTCCCACCGTTTCTTTACTCTTAACTCCTTTTCCTCCTTTACACTTTTTATTTATAAGTTTTTATCACTCTCCGAAATTGTCTATTTTCCTGCCTTTCTTCTGGTTTTATGGGGGCAGAGGTTTTTGTTGATTTTGTTTCTGGCTATTTCCTTGGTTCCCACAGTCATGCCTGGCGCAGTGTGGGTGCTTAGTAAATATAGATGAATAAATAAATATTCATAACACTAGACCTTCTTAGGGGCAACATGGGGACCCCTAAGTGAGTCATGCCCAAGGTCTGCCCTCGCAGGGCTCCCAGGCTGGGGAGGGAGAGACCTGGACACAGGTCACTCCAGTTCTGGTGACCAGAGCTGTGACAGCAGAGATACCAGGGCCCAGGAGACCCCAGAGTGTAGACGAGAGTGAAGGGCTTGGAGGAGACTCCCTAGTCAAGGAACGCTTGTGATGGCTCTTGAAGGATGAGTAGGAGTTTATCAGGTAGAGAGTAGCATCTATCTGGATTCATCCCTTCATTCATTCACTCATTCATCATCCATTTCCTGGGGCCTCCTGTGCTGGGAAATGCCAGGAACCCAGAGATGAGTCAATCCTGGACCCTGCTCCCCGCAAGCCCCTAGTCTGATGGGGGAGGTTGAACAGACAGTCACAATCCAGGATGATCAGATAGTGGCAGAGGGAGATACAAAGGCTGTGGAAGGCACTGGGTGCTACTTGCTGCTTGTGGCAGGGAAGGGAAGGGCACCCAGAATGAGCAGGAATGGGGTGGGTCTCTTCCACACAGGATGCTGGAGATATGAGAGAACCTGCTCCTGGAATGATGCTGAGTCTGTGTCACACCCTGACCTGTGCTCATTGCATGTCCTAGCACAACAACCCAATGAGCCTGATCCAGCTATAAGCTCCATTTTATAGACAAGGACATGGAGCCTTAGAGATTAAGTCACTCGCCCGGGGGAGCAGCCCAGCTGGCATCCAGTGTGACCAGAGGGTTTGGAGAGGACCAGGCTGGAAGAGATGAGGCTGGAGATGTGCACGAGGCAGGTTCTTCGCCCAGGTGGTGTGCCTTTGAGTGGCCTCAGCCAGTCTCTCATTCTGGTCTCCCCTCTGTGCAAAGCCAGTCAGGGAAGGATGGGTGCCAGAGACTGGGATTGAGCCACGTGGGGCAAAGGTGAGGGCATTGCAAAATGGGAGGAATGACCTTCTCTTTCCTTTCCCAGAGTGGAACAGCAGAGGTGGCTCCTGTTATTATTTCTGGTGGTACAACTGCTGCTTATGGGCGCATTTCTGTACCAAAACCGCCACCACCACAGCTTCACCTCCTTCTTCCACTTCCTAATCCAAGAAAGGCCAGAGGGGAGAGAAGAGCTGCCCTTTTTGGTTCAGATCTCCCCTCCAGGAATCCGTTACCAGGACGTGTACTCCAACCTCAGCCAGATCCAACCTATGGACATCAGTGAGGAGGATCTGCCCAACTGCCCCATCATCTCACCCTACATCAGTAAGCTTATAGGGGCCTCCTACACCCCCAACCCCAACTGAGGCTTTGAGGAGCTGGCAGGAATCCCTGAGGAGTGGGACAGGACCTGGAAGCAGAAGGCAGTGGGCCTGATGGCTGGGGGTGATGGAGAGCTTGCTGGTGGTCTCCTGCTGTATCATAACAAATCACCCCAAAACTTAGTGTCTTTAAACAATCATTACCTCTTAACGTTTATGCGGGTCAGGAATTTAGGGAAGGGCTCATCTGGGTAGTTGTGGTCCGGGTCTTTCATGCAGTTGCAGTGAGATGTGGCTGGAGCTAGACCAGCAGGGGCCTGAAGCACTCAGGAGCTGGCTGGGCACCTCACTCTCTTCATGTAATCTCAGGGTCTCTCTGTGTCGACTCTCCAGTGGGCTCGTTCAGGCTTCCTCACAGCATGGTGGCCTCAGAGCGAACAGATTGCTTACATGGCAACTGAAGGCTTCAAGAGCAAGTATTCATGTAGACAAGGCAGAAGTGGTATGGCCTCTTATGATCCAGCCTCAAGAGCCACATAATGTCACTTCTGCCATACTCCATTCATTGACACAGTCACAAAAGCCCACCAATTTTAAGGAGCGGGGACACAATCTCACTTTCAATAGGAGGAGTGTCAAAGTCACATTGTAAAAAGGGCAGGTTGGATAAGAGGTCTTATCCTGTGGTCTACCACAGAGAGGCAGGTGGCACAGCTGGGGATGAGGGGTGGACGGTGGAGCCATCAGTGAGGGAGGGAACTGAGAAGGAGGGCAGTCTGAAATGTAGGAAGAGTGAGCAGCCTGAGAACCATCCAGGAGGAGACATCTGAAAGGCAGGTGGGGGTTCGAGCTCAGGAGGCAGATTTAGGCCCATGGGCATCCACAGGAAGAAAAGCAACAGGAGATGCTGAGCTTGCTGAGGGAGGGAAGAGAGAAACATGGGGACCAGGGGAGAGATGAGGGAAGGATCAGAGAAAGAGCTACTGAGAGCTGGTGGGACAACCAGGAGGGCAGGACATTTTTGAGCCAACTGGGGCAGCTCAGAGCCCTTTGTACTAGCATATCAATTTTCCTGGGGCTGCTATAACAACGTACCACAAACTGGGTGGCTTAAAACCACAGAGATGTATTCTCTCACAGTTCCAGAGGCCAGAAGTCTGAAATCGAGTCTGTTAGCAAGGGTTGGTTCCTTCTGGAGGCTCAGAGAGAAACCATCCTATACGTCTCTCCTAGCTTCTGGTGGTTGCTGGCAATCCTTGATGTTCCTTGGCTTGTGGGCACATCACTTTAATTTGTGCCTCCATGGCCACCTTCTCTCTGGGTCTTCACGTGGCCTTCTTTTAAAGACACTAGTCATTGGATTGAGCGCCCAGCCTAATCCAGAGTGAGAGCATTTTAACCAGTTATGTCCATGAAGACCCCACTTCCAAGTAAGGTCACATTCTGAAGTTCTGGGTGGACATGAATTTGGGGGGGATATGATACAACCCAGTACAGCTGGATTGTGGGCTTTCTGGGGTAGATCCCTGACCATCCCTGGCCTCTGCCTCTCTCAGATGGCCCTTTGAAGGTGATGATCCCAGAAAACCTGACGATGGAGCAGGTGGTGGAAAAGAACCCACTGGTGGAGCTGGGAGGCCAGTACCGGCCACCTGACTGCTGGACACGGCACCACACGGCGGTAGTGGTGCCCTACTATGGCCAAGCCCAGAACCTGCAGCACCTGCTCTTCCACCTGCACCCCTTCCTACAGCGCCAGCAACTGCACTATGCCATCTATGTGGTGAACCAGGTACGGCAGGAATGGGGATGGGCAGGGGCAAGAGGGCAGAGGGGTCTGAACGTGGCTTTGGAGAGTCAGGGGCTGATGTCATCACTCTCTGAGCTGAGAGTGTCTGGGTCAGAGAGTATCTGGGGGGCTGGATGTATGAATCAAGAAGAACTTGAATTAGGGGAATTCAGAGCTAAGGGCTGGACTGGCTGAGTCTGGAATCAGCTTGAATGGCTGAGGGAAAGGTCTGATCCCACTGAGTCTAGGCCTCTCTGAAACCAGGGCTGGCCAGATTGGGCAATAAAGCTAAAGGGTAAATTAAAGCATTTACCCCTGGGCTTGGGGTCAGTTAGATGCTTGTTTGAATGCTGGCCTTGCCCATTACTACCTGTGTGGTCTGAGTATGGGATCCATCATTTACTCATCTATCCATCCATTCAAGAATTCAACACACTGTTACTCGGTATTACTATGTATAAACTTAGAGAACTTTCTCATTCATGAGACAGGGATGATAATAACACTTCCATCATTGGGTTGTGGGAAGGATTCATTGAGTTAATGAATGTAAAGCAGTGAGGCCAATGCCTGGCACATAGTAGGTGCTCAATAAGTGATAGTGATGATGATGATGATGAAGATGATGGTGATGGTGATGATGGTCATGATGGTGATGTTGGTAATAGTGATGATGGAGGTGAGGTGATAATGTTAATGGTGTTGAAGATGAAGAAGATAGTGATGATGGTGGTAATGCTGATGATGAACATGATAAACAGTGATGATGGCAATGATTAAGGTGGTGATGATGATGAAGAAGACAATGATGGAGAAAGAAGAGCAGAGGAGAGGCAAACCCTGTCATGATTCCTCAGCATCAAATCCAGACTTTGTTTAGTAGGAACAGAAACAGAGACACAGGTGGTCCCTGATCACTCCTAACCTCTGCCTCCCTCAGATAGCTTCTTGAAGGTGATGATTCTTGAGAACCTTGAATATGGCTGAGGAGGGAGAGTTAAGAGGCTGAAGCTACTGACTCTGCCTAGGATGGGGATGGGGATCCCAAAAAGTTTCCCAGGGGAAGTAACCTTTGAACTGCACTTTTCTGGAAAAGTCTGGGTTTTCTAGCTCCATCGTAGGAATAAGAAGGGGTTCCAGGTAGGAGAAGGGCACTAGAAAAGGTGAGAGAGGATGGGCCTGGTAGGTGGGTGAACACCACTGTCTGCTGGTGAGGGCAGCACCGAGCATCTCTGTCCACCCCAGGTGAACAACACTGCCTTCAACCGGGGCAAGCTACGCAACGTGGGGTTCTGGGAGGCCATGCAGGAGGAGGACTGGGACTGTGTCTTCTTCCACGATGTGAACCTACTCCCAGAGGATGACCGTAACCTCTACATCTGTGACATCTTCCCTGCCCATGTGTCTGTGGCCATCGACAAGTTCAACTACAGGTAGGTGGAGGGAGGGGACCTCCTGTGGGGGACAGTTGGCCAGGACTTGCCCTTCCTTTGACCTCACTCTGCCCATCTGTACTGTTTAAGCCCTGTTCCCTGGGACGGAGGCACAGAGGGGACAGTGGGGCCTGGGGAAAGGCCTTGGAGACAGTGAAGAACCTTCCTCTTGGCTGTGGGTGTCAAGTGGGGGTGGGGTTGGTTATCAATGGGGGAGTCAGGGTGCACTTAATAAAGTGGTAGGTGGAGGGGTTGTTAACAGAGGTCAGAGGAGGGGAACTTATGAAAGGAAGGGCTACCTAGGGGTCAGGAAGGGGCTATCCTAAGGGTTTGGGGAGAAGGGGCCATCAATGGAGTCACAAGATGGGCCTGTCACCTGATTCATGGAGGGGCTATCCCAGGGTCAAATGAGGGGTGATCACAAGGGTCAGGGGGAGGGCTACCCCAGGACCAAGCAAGGGAACTGCCTAGGGGTCAGGGGTGAGTGGAGAAGGGCTAACCCAGAAATAAACCTTGGAGATCCTGGCCAGGAAAGAGCCAGGGCCCTTGTTGCCTGAAACTCCTTGTGCTTCCAACTCTCTGCCTTTCCAGGCTGCCCTACCGAGGCTACCTTGGAGGGGTCTTTGCTCTGCGCCCCATTCACTACCTGAGGATAAATGGCTTCCCTAACACATACTGGGGCTGGGAGCATGAGGATGATGACATCGCTGCCAGGTGGGGGCCCTGCTCTAGGGAGCCTAGCACAGGGGGCTGCAGGTCCCTCCATGGTACAGGGGACATAGGCTGCCCTGGACTGAGGGGGGACCTGAGCTACCCTGGATTGAGGTGGACACAGGCTGTCCTGGACTTAGGGGGGACGTGAGCTAGGCTGGATTGAGGGAGATATGAGCCACCTGGCCTGAGAGGCTGGGTGTGGCATGGGGACCCTCTCAGAGAAGACAGGCATCTGGCCTCCCTGCCTTCTCCCCTGTAAGGCTGAAACTAAGTGGGATGCTCCTCTCACGGCCCCATCTGCTCTTTGGCCGCTACCACATGCTGGAGGGGCAGGACCCCAGCCACAAGCAAAGCCCCCAAACGTGAGTTGGGTTGGAGGGGGGTGGCCACTCCTGGGTGGTTCCTGAGCCCTGGGCTCATCCGGCTGTCCCTCCTGCCCCTATCCCCAGTCCTGGCCTTCTGGCCCGGATCCACCGCAGGTGGCGACATGATGGCTTGAACTCATTGGGCTACAGGCTGCTCTCCAAGGAGGTGCAGCCCCTCTACACCAACCTCACTGTGGACATCAGCCCCCCAGCCCCAGGAGCCCCAGTGACAGGCTGAGGAGTGTCTGGAGGCTGGAACGGAATGCCGGAGATTAGGGCTGCAGGGCAGCCCTCCCACCCATCCCACCTGGTTTCTTATTAAAGGAGAGTTTATTTTACGTGCTTCTCTTCTCTGCCATCCCCAGTTCCCATCCTCTCATTTCTATTCATTCATTCACATGGGGTCTCACTCAAACTCACCAGGCACTGGTGCTTTCCTCTCAGTTCCAAGGGCTTCACACACACACCCACCTGTTTTCTTCCCATGCAAACTCGTGAGGTAGGCACTATTATAATCTTCCTTTTGAAAACCAGGAGAGAGGAGTTACATAACTTGCCCAATTGATGTAGAATCAAATACAGGAACCTGGCTCCTGGGCCTGTGCACTTAAAGATTATGCTATTCTGCTTCTTTCTTGTAGCAAAATAAAGTAGGGAAAGGAAGGAATAATAAAAAATGTGAGGACGGTTGAACAAATTACAGCATGTCCACACAATAGAATGCCATGCAGCCATTGAACAGATGTAGAGTGAAAAGAACAAGATGCGCACACATGCATATGATGGCATTTATAAAACAAAGAGAAAAGAGTTCCTATATAGGTATGTGATTATGAGCATATTAGTGAGTGTGTGTGGATAACAAGTGTTGGTAAACTTCTTCTGTATAGGGCCAGATGATAAATATTTTTGGCTTTCAGGCTATATGGTCTTTGCTATAGTTAATCAACTCTGCCACTGGAGCCACAAAAGCAGCCAAAGACAATATATAAACAAATGAATATGAATGTGTTCGAATAAAACTTTATTTAAAAAAACAGATGACTGACCAAATTTGGCTGATGGTCACAGTTTGCTGACTCCTGGTGTATATGATTAGAAGCCTGTGTAAAAATATGAAAGAGTCCATACTAAAAGGCTGACACCAGTTATCTACAAAATGGCTCACCACAGATGGTGGAGGTTGAAGAAAAGGGGAGGGTGGAGCTGAGCTAATCATGAAAGAAGAGAAAAACTCCACTAAGACCAGTATACATCATAGAATCACATCTATGCATTTACTAAAAAGGTGTACATTCATGTGTCTATATAAAAAGAAATTAATAATTATTGACTGTGCAACATCAGGATATAAATATTCAATAGGGAATAAATTTGATAAACACAATTAGCTTCTTTAAAAAATATATATATAACCTATCTACACCTATTATGCAGTGAATTCTGTAGCAAACACTACAGAACTAAGGACATAGCATATATATGCATGCATATCTATATAAATATGCAAACACATATAAATGTACATACATAATACTGTGTGGTCATCATTCAGTTTGCTGGCACATTGGTTATAATTAATCTAATTTCCAACACTTTCCTATAAATAATCTGATAACAATCTGTCTTGTACTACTTTCTATAGAAATACTTTTCTCAATGCATTAGTCAGGGTTTCTTCCCCAGAGTAATTTTATAATTCTTAACGAAGCTAGTACAAATATAGACAGTTCCACTCATTCTTAAAAGTTCTTTTCTGAGTAATTTCCCTCATGTAAATTAATGTGTAACTTTGTGACATGCAGTGTGTTCCTAGAGTTTTTCTGAAGTGTGAATTTTATTTCACATGCTTAGATCGGACCCATGAAATTTTTTTCTTCAAGAAATTCAGAGTTTGCTTCATTTATAAATATGCTTTTGCATACTAGGAATTGAGTTCTGGGTAAAGTTTTTCAGCAGAATAACTGCTTCTGTAAGATCTGTCTCTGGTGTGAGTTGTTTGGTGTTTATTAAAATTTGATCTGTTGTTGAAGGTCTTCCCACATTTAGAACATACGTAGGGTCTCTCTCCTGTGTGAATTCGTTGATGCACTGTGAGTTGTGGTTTCTTACTGAAGGATTTCCCACAGTCACAGCATTCATAAGGTTTCTCTCCAATATGAGTTCTCTGATGTGTAATCAACTCAGATTTCTGGATGAAGGTGTTCCCACATTTGTAACAGGCAAAAGTTCTCTCTCTAGTGTGAGTTATCTGATGTTTATGGAAATTTGACCTACCATTGAAAGCCTTCCCACATTCAGTGCATACATAAGGTTTCTCTCCGGTGTGAATTCGCTGATGCTCTTTGAATTGTGACTTGGAAGTGAAGGCTTTCCCACAGTCACTGCATTTGTAAGGCTTCTCTCCAGTGTGAGTTCTCTGGTGCATGCTAAGTATTGACTTCTGGTTGAAGGCTTTCCCACAGTCACTGCATACATGGTGTCTTTCCCCAGTATGAATTTTCTGGTGTATATTGAGGTGTGACTTTTGGGTGAAGGCTTTTCCACAGTCACTACATTCATAAGGTTTCTCCCCAGTATGAATTCGACGATGTATATCGAGTTGTGACTTCGAGATAAAGGATTTCCCACAGTTGTGGCACTTATAAGGTCTCTCTCCAGTGTGACTTCTTTGATGCACGATCAAGTGTGCCTTCTGGATGAAGGCCTGCCTGCATTCAATACATACATAGGACTTCTCCCCTGAATGGATTCTTTGGTGTAAGCTGAGTGTCGACTTCTGGGTGAAGGCTTTCCCACATTCACTGCATGCATACTGTCGTTCACCAGTATGAATTTTCTGATGTATATTGAGGGTTGAATTCTGGGAGAAGCCTTTCCCACATTCACTGCATTCATAGAGTTTTTCTCTAGTATGCGTTCTCTGATGCCTGAAGAGAGATAACATCTGGAAAAAGGTTTTTCCACATTCAGGGCATTTATGGGGCTTCTTTCTGGTGTGAGTTTTCTGGTGTGTAATCAATTCTGACTTCTGAACAAAGACCTTTCCACATTCCTTACATATATAAGGTACATTACCTGCGTGATCTGTCAGATATACATCGAGTTTTAGTTGTGGGGTGAAGGCTTTTCCACATTTGGTGCATTCCTGGAGGTTTTCTACACTATGGAATCTCTGTTGCTCAAGGAGGTGTGACTTCTGAGTGAAGTCCCTTCCACATTCGGTACATTTATCTGGTTTCTCCCGAGTGTGAATTTGATGTTGTGTGAGTGACTGTTTATGGCTGTGGACTTTTGTACATTGATTACCTTCACAGAAGTTCTCTTCTGTATGAATATTCTTGCTGCTAGCATTGGAAGAGCTATGGGTGAACAGCTGACCAGATCCAGCAATCTCATCAAGGGGTTTTGTGGTATTGCTTTGATGTCGATGATTTAATTCTAGGTTGGGCTTCAAGCTTTTTGCAAATGAGCAACGTTTATGAGGTCTTTTTTGGGAAGAAACATGGTGGGGCCCCACGTGAATTATTTTTCCTGGGTCCTTATGTTCACAATCCTTCTTTGGCTTCAGTATTTTCTTATTAGGGAAAGCCCCATGATGTGAAGGTTTATTTTGATTTTGCTGATCTTTCTTTGTACAGTCAGCATCTTTCCACAGTTCTTTTAAAATGGAACACCATGAACCATCTCTTGTGACTTCACCTGCCATATCACTGTGAAATGAAGCTTTTTCAGAAATTTCCTGTTGTGGGGTTTCAAGCCCAAACTCCCCTTCTAGAAGGAGAAAGGGAAGATGAAATAGACACAATGAACAGTTAGCAGAGGACAGAGGAGAAATCATATGGAGCTGACTGAGACTGAACATAGGGAAAATGCTGAGTCATATAATAATGGTGGTGATGATGTTGATAATGAAACAGTCGCACAGTCCTTATTATATGTCCAACACTCACCTATATATATAGCATGTAGCATGTGCCAGTGTTCTACATGATGCACGTACAAACTCATTTATCCCTCATGACAACCCCACAAGGTAACTACACTTATCCTTGTTTTACAGATGAAGAAAAGGAGGCACAGAATGGTTAAGTACAGGCATACCTTGTTTTATTGCACTTCACTTTACCACACTTTGCAGATATTGTATTTTTTATAGGACCCTCCACCAGCAAAATGATTATGACTTGCTTAAGGCTCAGATGATAGTTAGCATGTTTTAGCAATAATGTATTTAATTAAGTTATCTACATTGTTTTTTAGATATAATGCTAATGTACACTTAATAGACTACAGTATAGTGTACATGTAACTTTTATATGAACCAAAAAATTCATGTGACTTGCTTTATTGTAATATTCGCTTTATTGCTGTGGTCTGGAACTGAACACCCAATATCTGTGAGGTATGCCTGTAATTGGCCAAAATCACTTTGCTTACCTGTGGGTAAAATTAGATTTGAACAAAGGCAACCTGGTCTAGACACCCACTGATACCCTGACCTAGTGGGGTGATTGAGGATAAAACAGACAAAAATGTTATGGGGCAAGGCTTGAAAGAGGGGGCTTAGAGTATAGGTCTTCATTAGCTTTCAGATCTAAATTGTCACTAATCTCCCAGCTTCCTCTCACTTGTTGGAAACAATATCAAATTCATCAGCCCCATATATCCTCTGGAAAACTATTAAAGCATCAATCCAGACGTGGCCAAGCAGGGAAAGAATACCTATGCCCAAACTCAACTCTCCGTGAAGCTGAAATTTGTTTTCTTGAACCTGGAAATATAGACATAAACCAAGAAAGGAACACTGGAAGACTGGACAAGCAAGCCGTCCCCCAGAATACCCTCCTCATAGAAGTTAATTGTGCCTGGGTACATGGCTGCCGAGCTACATAACAGTTCCTGATTTACTTTGCATTGAGATGTGTCAGTGAGACTGTGTTTTTGCTCATGGAATGTACATACAACATTATGCACCATTTCTGGGCCAGGGTGGTAAGATCACAGCTTCTCAATATTCTCCCCCCTTTTCTGCCTAGTGGAAGCTGGCTTTGCATGCAACGCACATTCAATCACACGGATCAACAGTATCATAAATGACAGTGCAACAATGACAACGGGAAAACTTAAGACACTTGAAGAATACAAGAAGTAAGGCTTCCTGCTGTCCTGCTCTTTTCAACTGTTTTATAGGAAAGAAATTATTCTAGAAATTATTCTACTGAACCTTGGTCTTTTTATTATAACTTTCAGCTTTATGCTACCTAATATAGCCTTTTTTGGCCAAGAATGGGAGTCATTGATCATCCAATTTACTAGTATAAAACACAAAACATAGCAGATTCTCAAAAAAAAAAAAAAAAAGAAAGAAAAGAAAAGAAAAAAAAAATAGAGTGACTAAATTTTACTATTACTTTATCTACCAGAGATTTACATACTAAGTATGATAAGACCATCACATCTTGTTTCTTTTGTCTTTCAGTCACGTGGATAAACTGTATTCCAGACCCTTGTCCTGTCCAAAAACCTCATACATCTTTCACTCCTTTTTTTTTAATACGAGAATGCCTTTTATTTTTATCATTAACTTTTTTTTTTGATGTGGTAAAAAATGCATAATATAAAATTTACCATCTTAACAATTTCTAAGCCTGAAGTTCAGTAGTTAAATACATTCATGTTGTGCAACCGACCTCCAGAACTTTTCTATCTTGCACAAGTCAAACTCTATACCCATTACACAATACCCTTTCTCCTCCTTCCCCTCAGCCTCTGGCAACCACCATTCCACTTTCTGTTTCTATGAATATGACTGCTCTACATACCTTATATAAGTGGCATCACACAGTATTTGTCTTTCTGTGACTGGCTTATTTCACTTAGCATAATGTTCTTAAGGATCATTCATGTTGTAGCATGTGTCAGAATTTCCTGTCTTTTTAAGGGTGGATAATATTACATGGTATGTATTTACCACATTTTGTTTATCCATTCATCCATCAATGGACAACTGGGTTGCTTCCACTTCTTGGCTATTGTGCATAGTGCTGCTATGAACATGGGTATGCAAATATCTCTTCAAGATCCTGCTTTCAATTCTTTTGGATATGTACACCAAGAAGCAGAATTGTTGGATCATATGGTAATTTTATGTTTAATTTTTTGAGGAATCACCATACCGTTTTCCATAGCTGTTGCACCACTTTACATTCCCACCAACAGTGCACAGAAGATTCCAATTTGTCCACATCCTTGCCAACACTTGTTATTTTTTCTTTTAATGGCAGCCATTCTAATGGATGTGAGGTGATATCTTACTATGGTTTTGATTTGCATTTCCCTAATAATTAGTGATGTTGAGCACCTTTCTATATGGTTTTTGGCCATCTGTATATCATCTTTGGAGAAATGGCTATTCAAGTCCTTTACCTGTTTGTTAATCAGGTTATCTGGTTTTTCAGTTTCATTTTTCACTCTCATATCACAATCTTACCCAAACATTGGCTTTCATTTATTCTGAGGATCTTACACTCTGGGTTCCCAGGCATAGACTTGGAACATTTTTAACTCTTTACTTTGTTTAGATCATAAAAATTTTGCTGAACCTGATGACATTTAAATCACTGCCAAAAACGTTCAATATAAAATATCAGAACTGTGCTGAAAAGCTTATCCATAACTCTCCAACATAGCTTAACAATGCTCCTTCAAAAAAAGTTCAATATCCAAAATCCAAGCACATACTCATGTCTTCTATCCCCATTAAGCTTGCTTTTCCTGCTCCTTTGTTCTAATCCAAAATTGCTTCATAGAGCAGTTAGGAGTACTGGACCCTTAAAATTACCTCCCAACATCACTCCACCTCTAGGGTGACACCTTTTTCTCTGAACTACAAAAGCACTGTGTCCCCCATTTTGATACTTATTTTTTGAGTAGCCTTCCATTAAACAGACATGATTAACACAAAAAGGCTGATGATGTTAACATCTCAGGCCACTATCCACTCTATCCAATTACAATCTCTGTTCCTTTGAATTTCAGCAGATACTTAAAATATCCTTCTAAAATAGAGCAAAATATTATTTTCTGCCTATCTTCAGAAACTCAATGATTTTTATATACTGAATGGTTTCCTCATGTTTAATAGTGGCATAATGAAAATTAAGTAGGGAGAGTACAAAGTAGTCAACCGACCATGTGCACAGCAGACCATCCTATATTAGACCACCCAATATATATTATATACATACTGTCTATATAGTAGATATTAAAAATATATGAAAACAATGTGGAAGATGAGTGATGAAACTATTCAGGTGCATTTTTAAATCGGAAATATGCAGCCATGACGATAATGTCACTGAAAAGTGTTTATTAATCCTACATAGTAGGAAATAACGATTTTTGCGTCAAAGTCTACGGAGAAAAAAAGAAACAGTATCAATCTTTGTGGTAATAAAATCTGTCAACAGCATCTTAACTGAACTCATAAACAAATGGAATCCATAAATCCCATTAGGAACAAAATAACCCGAGCATGAGAAAATAGGGAGCTGGCTTCTGATGATACCAATGGGATTAAGAAAAAGGGTCAACTAAATTGTATGTGCAAAAAGAAAACAATGGTAGGATTTCCTAAATAACAAATTAGAAGACTGGGATGGAAGAGCTAAGAAACAGAGGAATCTCATAAAATGTATAAGGTGAGAAGAATTTCTGATTTGTGTGATGATTCCAATTTCTGATCTCCCAAAAATAAAGGAAGTGAGTCATCTCACAGGAACCATCCAACATGTAGCTAAATAGGGTAACAGAATATAGATTAGGCATGAGGACTGGAGGGGTTGATATAGGGATCATCAGAAAAATATATGAGGCCTAAGTGTTCAGAATAGAAAGTCCCTGTAGGGTGATTCCAATTTGAAGGGATGACCAGAGGGAAGTATAGACCCCCAAGCTGGAGACATCCCAATTAAGGGAAAAAGAAAAAAGAAGATCCAGTACAGAAAAGAAAAATCAATCAATTCAGGGGGCAAATAAAAAGGAAAAAAGGCCTTGAGAAAAGTACATGGACACAATGGGAAAACAATGACAAAAGCAATGCACACATGGAAAACCCAATCAGATAACAGATATAATGAGATCCTCTAACAATGTAGTTACAAGAAAAATGAAATTAAAACATGAAACAGCCCTTTCACCTATCACATGGCCATAAATGTGAAATTTGATAAATGCTAAGTGTTGGCAAGCCAGATGTGCAAGTGGAAATCCGTATGCATTCCTACATGGGAGTGGAGATTGTGTATCCCACCTGAAGAGCAATATGGCTTACTTAGTCAAATTAATTATACTTGCATCCCGTGATCAGGCAATCCCACCCGAGTATGCACCTCTGAGAAATTCTTATACATTGTTTACAAGATAATGTATGAAGCGTCAGTTGTAGAAACTGGGAGTAGGAGGCAACCTAAATGTCTATAACAGGGCAATGGATAAGTGTGGTAGGTTGAACAATGCCGCCCCCCACCCACCCCACCAAGTATCCACGTGCCAGTGTAATAGTCACTCACCTTGACGCCTCTGATGTGGGAGTTCGGCCTTCCCTATCCATGGCTCCTTTCCTTTTTCCATCCTGAAAATGATCTCTGGGATGGGAATGTGATACCCTGTTAATGAGAAAGGATATTGGATTTGGATGTTGTGGACAGGTTTTTGGGACCCCTCTCCTGGTCTAGCAGGCAAGTCTAGCAAGCAAACCGTGTAGGCTTTAAGTCAGTATAATAAAATCCATGCTGTCCTGTGAAGCAGCGGTGCAGGGTGCAGGCCATCTTCAGCCTGTGTCTAAATGACCTTGCAACCCCCCACCTCATGACTGAAGACGCCAGCTGGACAGATCCACAACAGGAAGAGATAAAGGGGTACCTCACTCTCACATTTCCCAGCTGCATTTCTTAGAGACTGAGGGACTAATTAAGGACTCTGGTCCTTGCCTCCCTCCACACATAGATAACATCAGCCTCTCTAAACTTGTTTGATGTATAACCGAGAAATTCTTGTTTATGTTACCTTCCATGTATAATCTAGAGAAAAGCCTAGACGTACTCTATCCCCCCGCCCCTTTTTAAATGTAGTTGTGGGCCGGCCCCATGGCTTAGTGGTTAAGTGTGCACACTCCGCTACTGGCGGCCCGGGTTCGGATCCCGGGCGCGCACCGACACACCGCTTCTCCGGCCATGCTGAGGCCGCATCCCACATAGAGCAACTAGAAGGATGTGCAACTATGACATACAACTATCTACTGGGGCTTTGGGGGGAAAAAAAAAAAGGAGGAGGATTGGCAATAGATGTTAGCTCAGAGCCGGTCTTCCTCAGCAAAAAGAGGAGGATTAGCATGGATGTTAGCTCAGGGCTGATCTTCCTCACACACAAAAAATAAATAAATAAATAAATAATAAAATAAAATAAATGTAGTTTAAGTTTTTTTCTTTTCCTCTTCCCTACACGTACACTGTTTGTGAAAGAGATATAACCTGCACTTAAACTCACCCACCTCAGAACAGTTCCATCAGAGCACTCTGCTGAACTGTTTTCCCGGGGTTCGAACTCCTCACACTGATTACTGAATAAACTCCTTTACTGATATCACCTAGACTATATTTTAGTCGACCATGTGGTCTTAAACTTTAGAGGCCAGTCAATGAAGGTTTGCACTGGCTCATAAGAAAAGTCAGCATCTTTCACAAGGAACAAATTAATACTCAAACGTGCCCAAAAGGAATGAACATGTCCTTTGCCTGGGACAAACCAAAGGCAACCCAATTACATACTTCAGATGTCCCACTGCATTCAAGGAAGGGAAGAAATCTCCTCCGTGGGGCCCATCCAAGATCCCCAAGTCAGGCGTACTCACCCACGGAGAAGAGGTGGCTATAGATCTCCAGCATCACATCCTGGTACAGGCATCTCTGGGCAGGGTCCAGTTGCTGCCACTCCTCCCTGCTGAAGTCCATGGTCACGTCCTCAAATGACACCAATCCCTGTAACAATACACCCCAGCTCAATGTGAATCAGACACCATTGGCAAATGGGAAGTTACATGCAGAGATGCATTTTTGATGATTTTTAACCATGATATATCATATGGCTTGCCACTAACTCACTGTTTGATATTATATTTTGGGGGATTAAAAAATTTATAGAAATATCCTGCCATTTATTATATACTTGCAATATTGTGATTTATAATAAATATCTATTTGGTCTTTGTCCCTGTTTCTAGCAGAGCTCCTAAAACCCTTAGAATTTCCTAAGAGATGAGTGATAAAGGTGTCTCTTGTTATGTTAATGAGTGACTTCCAGATCCACCCAAGATGGGCGCTGGTTGCCAGGGAAACCAACCATGTGATCAGGTTGGGACTTTCAGTCCCACCCCCTGACCTCTGGGGAGGGGAGATGGGCTAGAGGTCGAATCAGTCTGCCAGTGCCCAATGATCTAATTTATTTGCCCCTATAGTGAAGCCTCCATAAAAATTCAAAAGGACAAGGTTTGGAGAGCTTCTAGGTTGGTGAACCAGATGACTCCCATATGCCACCATGCCAGGCCTCAAACTCCAACGCGACAGAAGCTCCTTTTTTCGGTATCTCGTCCTATGTATCTCATCTGATTATTGATTCTTATCTTTTAATATCCTTTGTAATAAACCAGTAATCTAGGGAGTAAACGGGTTTCCTGAGTTCTGTAAAGCACTTGTAGATGACGATAACAAGATGGAGTAACATATGTCAAGGCTTCTAAAAATGGAGCAGGGAGGCCATTAGGGAAGTGGGGCTTATGCACGTACACCATGTCTCTACCTAGGCGGAATGTAACCTTTGAACTGTGCTTCACTGCTGTCATCCTGACCTTCCAAGAAATATGCTTACTGCCATAGATAAGAACTTTCTGCCTTAGAGATGACCTTAGCAACCAATCACATATAGCCAAGAAGTAACAGTTGTTGCTAGCACCGATCTCATGTCTTGCAAAACAAGCTGTGTGATTCATCCCTTTTTGCCTTTATAAACTCGTCTCATTTGTCTTCCTCTGAGCACATTTGAATTTCTGCTCCAATCTGTGTCTCTGGAATTGCAATTCTTGAGACCCCCAAATAAACTTTTTGCTTCTTTTGTACTTTATGCCTCTTACTCATTGACACACTCTAGCAAATTAATTAAACCCAAGGAGGGGGTTGTGGGAACCTTTGATTTTATAGCCAATTGGTCAGAAGCACAAGTGACAACCTGGAGTTGCAGTTGGCATCTGAAGTGGGGGTGGGGGGAATGGAGGCCGTCTTATGGGACTCAGCCCTTAACCTGTGGGATCTGATTCTATTTATGGGTAGATGGTGTCAGAATTGAGTTAAATTCTAGGGCACAGAATGCCCTGGTGTGACAGAGAAATGCTTGGTGTGAGACAAATCTCCACACATTTGGTGACCAGAATTGTCAGAAGTGCAGTGTTCTGTGTGACTAGTAAAGGAGACACACAGAAGTGAGTTTTTCCTTTACAACAGGGAATACTGATCTGATAAAAATTCGACCCACCTCTTGGAAGGGTAGGCATGAAAAGCATGCATGTGAGTGCTGGGGTTGGGACTACACAAAACACGGCTAAATCTAAACCTGAGAATCTGAGAAGTAACTCTTTTGGGCTCCTGAACCCAATTCTGTGTGTGTGAGTGGGGGAGTCCCCTCCTCCCAGTCCCCCACTGGCAATTCTCCTGATTCCAGCTGGGTGTCCTACAACTGAACTCAATTCTGACACTACCTGGAGATAGCATCACATCCCACAGGTTAAGGGCTCAGTCCTGCAGGACTCCCCTCCCCCTCAGACTCCAATAGCAAATCCAGGTTGTCACCTGTACTTCTGACTGACAGGCTCACAGAACTCAGAAAACCCATTCACTCCCATGTTTATTATAAAATATTATAAAAAGATATTAAAAGATACAAATCAACAACCAGATGAAGAGATACGTAGGGCAAGGTATGGGGAAAGGAGCTTCCATGCCCTGAGTGCACCACTCTCCCCGCATCTCCATGTGTTCCTCAACCTAGAAGCTCTCCGAACCCCATCCTTTTGGGTTTTTATGGAGGCTTCATTACATAGGCAGGATTCATTAAATCATTGGCCACTGGTAACTGAACTCAACCTCTAGCCCCACTCCCCTCCCCAGAGGTCAGGAGGGTAGGAATGAAAGTCCCAACCCTCTAATCATAGGGTTGGTTCCTTTGGCAACCGGCCCCCATCCTTAGGTGCTTTCCAAAAGTCACCTTATTAACATAAACCAGTTGTGAGGGAATGGGGCTTGTTATGAATAACAAGACACCCATTTCACCTTTATGGTTCTGAAGCATTTTCAGGAACTGAGGACAAGAGACCAAATATTATGACAAAAGACGCTCCCATTGCTCTTTTGCTCCCCAAAATTCCAAGAGTCCTGTGAACCAGAAACCAGGGAGGAAGACCAAATATATATGAGAAATATATTTTTGTTATCTCAATGACCCAATATATATTTCTTATAAATCACAATATCACATAGTTATATAAGGGTGTCATTAAAAGATTAGGAGGTAAATGCCTAAATATTTAGTTAAAAGGATAAAAATTGATTTTCTCTGAGGAGGTGGAATTTTGGAGAAAAGAAAATGGTGACAGCTGTTTTTATTCACAAGCCTAACAAAAATAATGACTTTCTTTTCCATGTACAAATAAAGCCAAGAACTACTTGCAAAAGAAAAAGTGACAAAAATATTTGCAAAAATATGCAAAGAGAAAAATGGGTTATTAATAATACATAAGACATCTTTGAAAATCCAGAGGCTAAGACCAACTAAAGTATAAATCTTCAAAAGACAAAAGATAATTCTCAAAAGAAGAAGAATTGACCAATAAAACTGAAAACAAAAAGGTAAAAAGTACAAATGAAAGCAACAATGACATATGATCTCTTTTTGATCAAATTAGCAGGCTTAAAAAATACAAAATAACATCATACAGTATTGGCCAGAGTAGAGTGAAGACTATAAAAGAAGACTATGTGAATGTTGTTGGAGAATATTCTAACGTGAACAGAGAAACTGATCAAAAATCTGAATTAAGACAAGGAGTATCTATTGAAATAGCAAAATCAAAATCACAGCAAGCAAACAAAATATTTTCATCATTTCATAAAAGGAAATGAGCTAATATGAAGTAACATGTATTTTAGTGCCCAACTTAAAAGATACTTTTGAACATGCTCTTAACAATTCAACCAACATCAATGCAAAATGAAAGACATTTTTCTACAATGTAATGTTTGTCACTGTTCTGAGCCTAATTGTGTCTTCCCTCCACCAAAAAAAATTCTTATATGGAATTCCTAACCCCCAATACCTCAGAATGTGCCTGTATTTAGTGACATGATCTTTGAAGAGGTAATTAAGGTAAAATGAGGTCAATCAGATGGGCACTAATCCAGTATGACTGGTGTCCTTATATGAGGAGATTAAGATACAGACACCCACAGAGGGAACACCATACGAGGACACAGTAAGAAAACATCCATCTATAAGCCAAGGAGAGAGACTTCAGAAGGACCAACCCTGCTGACACCTTGATCTTGGACTTCTAGCCTCCAGAATTGAGAAAATAAATTTCTGTTGTTTAAGCCACTCAGTCTGTGTGGCTTAACATAACTTTGTTATGGCAGGCCTAGCAAACTAACATAGTCACACCACAAACATCTAGACAATTTTGTTTTATTTATTTATTTATTGTGAGGAAGATCAGCCCTGAGCTAACATCCACACCAATCCTCCTCTTTTTGCTGAGGAAGACTGGCCCTAGGCTAACATCTGTGCCCATCTTCCTCCACTTTATATGGGACGCTGCCACAGCATGGCCTGACAAGCAGTGCATGGGTGCGTGCCCGAGATCCGAACCCAGGCCGCGGGCAGGGGAGAGTGCACACTTAACCGCTACGCCACGGGGCCAGCCCTGACAATTTTGTTTTAAATTCCTGTGTTTTAAATGTTCATTTTAAGAACGACTTTTAAATATTAAATATTTGGGGTATTATCTTTCAATTTTTAAATGATTTTTCTTAGGCACTTATTTTAATAGTGTTAATGTTCCTTTTAAAAACATGTTCTATTATCAAATGTTTCTGTCAGGTTGAGATGATTTTTAAACATTATTGAAATGTATCATCTTCTCACAATATATTGGTTCACAATGGTAATAAGCCATACATTTATTATACCTTTTCTAAACAGAGGATCTCTGTAACTTTGAGTATAATCCTATCACACAAAAATGATGCACTGTTTATTATCATGGGCACTCATTATTTTAAAACATGGAAATAAAGTGTCATGAAATACACAGAATAACTTGGAATTTCAGGAAGTCCTGAGTATACTCAAGAATCCTGCTTTCTCATTCCCAAATATCAAATATTAATATCTGTGCGCACGTTGGAAACACTATTCTCCGGCATTTTTATTTATCTTTTAAAACAGGAAAAACCACATGTTCCTTAAGAACCAGTTCTTGCTCTGGTATCTTATGACTGTATAAACTATGAGGACAGAGGGGAACTAAGCCAACCCCCACCTTGCAGATAAGGAGTCAGGTGAGGACCAGCTGAGAATATGCAAAGACCCAGTAGTGGATGAAGGGTCTTAGCCTGTGCTGAGCAGGAAGGAGTTAGCATTTCCCTGCCTGTGGCTTGGGCTTCGTACCCAGACAATGGGGAACCTTTTCTCCTTCCTTTGCCCCAAGGCCAGCTCTCTGTGTCCAACACAGCCTCCTTCATCAGCCAGTTCAGAGTCCTCTATAACACCGAAGGCCTGTGAATGAGGATACACTGGCCCCCTGTGGTCTGCTCTCAGCAGGAGGATCCAGATTGTCTCAGGCACAGGGAGTCCAGAATCTGCTGCTTCCTGAGTCTGCCCAAAAGTTCTGGAGAACAATCTCGGGGGCTGCTCCTGCTTACCTCACATGATCCATCCTGCTCCACTGGACCCAGGACCTGAGGCCTCTGGGGCAAATTCACATCAGCAGGCATGTCCCCTCTGGGCTCTCGGTTTCTCTTGCTGAGAACTCCACTTTGCCCAGGAGCCTGAAGCTGGGTGGGCATCTGCAGGCTCCAGTCAGACCTGCTGGGGGGAGTCCGGCTGGGCTGTGAAGGGAGATCCTGTGGCCTCAATGATGTGGCCTGACCCAGGGGCTCTGCAGAGACACCAGGAAGTCCTGGAAAGGCAATGACCACATGGTCACTCATCCAACATTCACTCCACATGAATTTCTGGGGACCCTTAGGTGAAGGTCACTGTGCTAGATACTGAGAGTAGACAAAACTCAGGAAAATTTAACTCTATTAGGGTTTAAAAAAAAAAAAAAGAAAACACTAAGATTTGGACTAAACTTAATGAAGGTCTAATCGCAGCTCTGCCACTTTTTAACTGGAGATATCACCTCAGTTGCAGTTTCCAAAATGAGGATACAAGTACTTATTATAGGCATTGGGAAACTTACAGGAGATGAAGCTTGTCAAGCCCTCAGCACGGGCCTGGCCTGTGGTAAACAATGAATAAAAATCAGCAAGTTGCAGAGTCAGAGATCAGGTACCTGGTTTAATTTTCACACAACCCTGTCAGCTAAGTATTAGGACCATTTTGTGGAAACTGAGGCTGAGTGCTGTTACATGATTTGCCTTGAGGTCACTCAGTCTGCAAAGGGAAGAACAGGGAATCAGTCCCACATCTGCCTCGCTGTAAACTTCACATAGTCTCCACGTCCCCCCCGTACATGGTCAGCTTCCAGAAACACCATTTCCATTTCCTATTGCCTTCAGAGAGCTGAGGCTTCAAGCTGGCCATGTCTGGGAGGCGTTATCCGAGCCTCAGGGCATTTCAGTGCCCATCCATAACAACCTAGACATCCCAGCCTTTTCTCACAAAGATAAAACTTAAATTCAACGTACTCAACCTCCACCTCGACCCAGAAACCCTGCGGACGTGCACCAGGACCCCCAATCGCTTACCATTCCTTGCCTGTCCCTAATGAGTTGCCCTGCCCCATGCCATACTATTGACCCCACTGACCTCCAGAAATCATCCATAAGTGGACCACAGGACTGCCAGAAGGTCACGAAATGCTTCTCGGTCACCAACATGGCTAGGTTCCTGAAATCATTACTCCCCTGATTACTACCTGGGGAATGTGATTTCCACAGGACCCCCAAATAATCCCCCAAACGAGGTTCCAAGTAACGCACCTCAATAGGAAACCATCGTGGATCTGCTCAACTGCCAATCCCTGACCCTTACCACTTCCACAGGGACCCAAGGAGAGGCCTCACAAACCCCCATCGCTGACCCCCTCCGCATCCAGTAGACTGGCTCCCATAGGCTACCCTTAGCACCCCACTGATTTCTATAGGGTCCCCAATCATGCTCCCCAGTGTTACAATGTGACCCTCAAAGTCCTCCAGTCCCTGAAGCTCCTGCTCCCAATCAATCACTGCCTCCAACAGGCCCCCAAGCAGTGGGTCACTTCCCCAAATGTCCCCCGGGACCATCCACTAAGGCCCTCTTAAGGCGCATGTTCACTGTACTCAAATGAGCAAGTTTCATGGCCCAACAATATAGAATCTGGTATTCAAGTACACTTGCAATTTAAGTTACAAAAATACTGATATGTATACAGAAAACACGCAAAGAGTGAAAATTAACGAGCCAATCATCCAACTTAAATTAGAAAACCCCACAGATCCCCCCCATCACTCACATCAAGCCGATTTCCCCTCACTGACTCCACAGAATCCCCATTGCTAACATTCCACATCACCTCAGCGACCCGCAAGCGACAGACGGGTTAGAACCAGCTGACAATATAAACGGAAATGGCCACTCTAGGCCACTTCCGGTTTGGGTTCGAGTCCTGTGGCCGGCTTGAACAAGGCGCATGCTCACTAGAACCTTTGAAGCCACTCCCTGCCAATAGTTAGCATGGCGTGTTGCAGTGAGCATAATCTATTCCGCGGTTCAGTTTCTCTCAGGAACTGTGTCAGGCGAACGACATGGCCGCGCCCACAAGCATTATGGAGGCCGCCATTTTCAAAGAAAGTCCATTTCGTACAGCCAGGGAAGGCACTTGCAATCTCATAGACTAAAGAAAGTTTTGGGGTTGTCCCGCGTTGGCAGGGGACCTATTGAATATTTGTGTGTATATATTTCTAGGAGAAACTGGCATTGCATAGTATGAAAAATACCTTTTCTCTGTATTATCACATTGATTTAAAATCCCACTCTCAGAATCCAGGTATCTTGCCCCCTCTTCCCTGCCAAGACTCACTCTGCACAGAGAGACTAATGGAGACGTATTGGGAGCCCAAAGGGTGCTGAGCTTGGCAGACGAACTCCTCTCCATCACCAGACTCCATTGAGGGCAGCTCCAGGACTCCAGGCTTTGAGGACTGGCAGAGGCTCGGGGCTTGGCTCTCCAGGGTCCAGCACCTGGCAGGGGCGTTGCTGTCAATCACACAGACCAGACGCAGGGATTGGCCCTTCAGAACTGATAGGGAGGAGCCACTCTCCAGTGCGCCTTTCTCCCCCTCCATCCCCATTGTCTAGTCATTTATTTATTAGTTCTGTAGCCATTAACTGCAGTAGTTATAACAGTAAAGCACAAAGATGCTGGAGCTGGACTGCCTGTGTTTGAAGCCAGATGATCAAGTTTGGGGATGTTAGTTAACCTCTCTGTACTTCAATTTTCTGTTTCATAAGGTTGTAAGGATTAAATAATTAAGTAAATTATCATATGCAAAATGGTTAAAATAGCGCTCTTACAGAATAAGAATGAGCTATTAAATGAGAAAAATAATATTTATCTTATTTCATTCATTCAACAAATATTTATTAGATTTCCCATGTTGTGCTCAAGAAAAAATTGTTCAAGTTCATTGTTTGCAAAAGTGTTTGAGGATTTCAACATTTTCCCCAAGGACCACTGGTAGCTCTTTGACCTTCCAATTGTTCTCTTTTGAAGCATCATGTCATCATTCTTGTTGATTTTCTCCTAGGTGTAATGGGTCTAACTCTACTGTGTCCTTCCAAATTCGTGGTTTTGACACATTTTTCAAACATCATTTTTATCAGTGATCTCATGAAATCTTGCATCTCTTTGCATTGTATTCACATTATATTGTAGGAGGTTTGCATCATCGGACAGAGAGACTGACTGAGGTAGATATTTGTGATTTATAATAAGAAACATATATTTAGTCTTTGTCCCTATTTCTGGCACCGAGCTCCCCAAGCCCTTGGAATTTCCTAAGTGGTGACAGCGATAAAGGTGTCTTTTGTTACCTTAATGAGGTGACTTTTGGAAAGCACCTAAGGGTCGGGGCTGGTTTCCAGGAGAACTAACCACGTGATTAGATGGTTGGAATTTTCAGTCCCATACTGCCCCTCCTCCACCTCCAGAGAGGGGACAGGGGCTAGAAGTTAAATTGCCAATGGCCAATGATTTAATCAATCCTGCCTACGTTATGAAGCCTCCATAAAAACCCAAAAGGAAAAGGTTCAGAGAGCTTCCAAGTTGATGAACATGTGGAGATTTGAGGATAGTGGTGTGCTGGCAGAGAGCATGGAAGCTCCTCGCTCTTTCCCCATACCTTGCCTTTTGCATCTCTTCCATCTGACTGTTGCTGAGTCACACCACATTCTCTGGCTCAGGAAGATCCTATAATCATCAGAAGTGGACTCTGTGGCTTCATGTAACCACAAGCCAGATAGTTTTCAATGAGGCAGCTTGGCAGGCCAGGCATCTACTGGGTCCCACGGAGGCAGGATGAGGAAGCGAGATGTTATAGTCTCAATAGATGGGGTTCTGAGAGGTGAGGAGCTTGATGAATTGTGAAAGGGGTGGATCTTCCGGACCTGATGCAAGAGCCCACGTAGCTCCAAAACCTGAGAAAGAAGAGATCCGAGCTGGGGGCAGAGGAGAAGTTCAGACAGGAAAGACACACTACAAAGGTAGAGCTCGTGGGGAAAGCCAAGAAGTGTCTGTGAGGCTGGCCCAGTCTCCTTGAGCCCAAACAGGCACAAGGAAAGCAACAAACACCCCACCCTAGCCAGGGGCTGCATCCACAGCTCCCAGGCCTCCGTCCCAGCCTCTGCCCTTGGGCCTTCCCTCTCAGAGGAGTTTAAGAGCTTGGGCAGCACTTCACAAGTCTTTTTACATGCCCAGACCTGGGCTGAGGATGAGTGTGGGATGGGAGGATTCCATCCTAGGTGAGTCCCTGCTTCCAGCTCCTCCTTCCCTGCATGGTGGTGATACCAGCTGAATACAAGGTTGACATAAGGGAAGCCATATTATAGAAAAGAAACCCTGTTGTAACTTTAAATGACCTCTGATTAACTAACCCAGACATGCTCTGTAGATTTTATGGCCCCTGTCAGCTGCTATAAGTTGATAACTTTGTTCTTTTGAGTTCCTTAGGAGTGTGATGACACTGGGCAGAGTCTATGCTGATAGCCATCATCAATGACACCTGAAAGATCAGGGTATAGGGCGTTTCTCCAGTCTCTGATGCATATCCAATAAAACAAAAGACAATGAGGACCTAACACCAGATGTCTGCCCCCACCCAGAGATCAGATGAATGCCCCTACTCGGAGACCAGCCCCCTATATAACTGGCCTGTAGTTTTTGTTCTGTAAGATGGTTCTTTCGGACATTAGTCAGTGATCTTCGCCCTTGCTAGCAAGCTGTAATAAAGTCCTTTCTCTCCTACCACCTTGCCTCTTGACTATTGGCATGTCTTGTGGTGGGCAGACCACCCCTCCTTGGGCGATAACAGTGGGAGAAGGACCTGAATTCCCAGCTCTCCTGAGAGGACATGGAGAAGGGTCTCCAGGGACAGAAGGTGGGGTCTGAGTGGGAAAGTGAAAGGAATAGAGCCCACTTTTGAAGTGTCTCTGGGGTGAATTGGGCTTAACCTTCACTTCCCCTGCGGTGGTTTGGGTGTTGCTGTTGGAGAGAAGGGTTTGAGGCAAAACCCAGAAATAGATGCCAGGTGTCTGCTGGGAAGGGCTAATCAGATCATGTCAAGGGGCTCCGAATAGGCCTTCCAGTCTCAGAGATGCCACCCCTGTTATCCCTGCAATGGGGAGGTGAGTGGGCTGGAGCAGAGGAGGGTGAGGGGCAGCTGGAACTAAATGTCACAGAGCTAAATATTGAGGTCTCCACAGTGTCCCTGTGTCCCTAGAGGAGCACGCAGGGGATGGGCTGCAGGTACCAAGGTCAGTAACAGTGCAGGGGGGATTGTGTGTCCTGGTGCTCTGTATTCTCCAACCCCCCGGATGGATGGAATCACTGGGACCCACTCTACATCTTCTGGTTCCTGGAAAGGGGCCAACATACATCAGGATCCTCCAGTGGCCACAAGCAAAATGGGTCAGAAGCTGCAAGAGAGGACCCTGGACCACTTCCATTTCCTCAGAGACCCCCAGACCAACAACTGCTCCCTGAGAATCAGAGACATCAGGAAGAAAGATGGCAGGATGTACTTATTTCGGTTGGAGAGGGGACCTGTCGTGAAGTTTAGTTTCAAGTATAAGACATTCTCTCTGAATGTGACATGTAGGAATGGGCCCTTACTCCTAGTCTGGGGGTGGGGATCAGAGTGAGAGTGGGTGTGCCTGGGATCCTGGGGCTGAGAGGGGAAGCATCTCTGGGACTATTGCAGAGGCCACTTCCAGATTGACACCTTGGAGACCCCTCTCCGTTTCTTCCTTTATCCTTCCCAGCCCTCATCCAGACACCTGACATCCAAGTCCCAGCAACTCTGGAGTCTGGCTGTCCTGGGAGCCTGGCCAGCTCCATGCCAGCAGCCTGTAATTGGA